AAGTCAGACAGCAGCCTCCATCGGGATGGGAATCTCTTCCAGCCAACGCTGCTGCCAGCTTCTCCGTCACCCAGGAAAGCCATGAGGGGCTGGCCAGTGAAGGCACACATACCCAGGCATCTGGTGAGGCTCTGACATGCTCAGCCGTAGCCTGGGCTCGGTGACAGCCAGGCTCAGCCCAAAGTGCTGAGTCGGCTGAATCCAGGCCAGGATGGCTCCTGCCCTCACAGCAAGCCGAGAGGCTGACAGCGACCCAGAGTTGGGGATCGGATGGCAAAGGCAGCATCCCACAAGCCCCCCGCTCCCTGCTTGGCTCCCATCACCCTTCCTGGGGCCAGCCTGGCCTATGCAGGGGGGGCAACGGGGCTGGGAACACCCTCCCTGTGGCTTCCCTCCTAATAACGAGGGGATGACGCCATGTGTGCAAGCTGTTCCTAAGGGAGGAATGTCCTTTCTTCCCGTGCCATGTCGCGGCCGGATAAGTACAGGCCTCCAGCTCAGCAGCCTCCGCATGGCTTGCTGTCGCAAAGTGTATCTTCCACATCTGGCCTGAACGCTCCACAGCTGCCAGGGCTGCCCCCTCTCCCTTCCCAGCACATCTGCGCCAGGCAGCACCAAGATGGTGAGGCCACAGATACTGGGAGAGGCTGGGATGCGCGGGGAGGGGATGGTGCTTCGTGTCCCACAGGGAGGGGCTGGCACCGGGGACCCTCCTGCAGCTGGAGGGGAGATGCTGTGGCTGGTTGTCATGTGCCTTACACCGCTATAGTGGTCCTCATTATATGGTTATAGTTCCCCTCCTGATGTAGCTATAGGGACCTCCACTTATAGAGCTATAGGGGAGCCCTTTATACTCTGACCGGGACCACTCTGACCTGGGAGGCTGCCCACAGGCATGGAGGCACTTCTTCGGCTCCCCCTGGCCAGTGACAGAGATGGGGTCCCAGTTTAACAGCCCACAGTATCTCATGGACACTTTCCCTGGGCCCCAGGGCTGCCTTTATAGCCTCATCTCCACTGCCCAGAGCTCGGAATCACTACCAGGGTAAATGCCCAGGAAAATAAGCCAGGGGAGACAGCTTCCAGCATCCCAGCGGGCAGGGGAGCCTCGGAAGGCAGGCAGGGATCTCCAGCGTGTGGCTAGCTGGGCAGGGTGAGGTTCACCCACCTGGGCTGGAGACAGAGTGTTCTCCTCTGGGAATCAGGGAGAGGGCAGGGAGCCGGGTCAGGACTGGGGACACGGTCAGAGCACAGGGAAGGGCTGGGGCTGTGCAGACAGAGACCCTCACTGCTCAGCGGGTCCCTGGGGATGTGTTGCAGAGCCCACGCTCACCCCGCTGCCCTCACCTTGCCTGTGGGGCCCTGGGAACCTATTTCTCCCCCAAGGGGTGCCAGGCTCTTCCTTCAACACGGCGGCAGCATGGGGAGCACCGAGAACCGGTGCCTGCCGCCATGTCCCTCCGTGTCCCGGGCACACAGGGTGGGTGGGTGGCCGCGGGTGTGCAGCGCGGGTGTGCAGCACAGGTGTGCAGGCGTGTGCGTGTGCGTGTGCATCCACCGCCCTCTGCCGAGGGAGCGCGGGCAGCTCACCCGGGGCTGGGCTCCGGGCACCGGGGCTGAGCCGGTGCGGGGCTGGGGATTGGGCTGGGGGTCTGCCCCCCGCCACGGGCACACGCCGCTTTGGGAAGGGCTGGTTTTGTCTCTCTCCATCCCACGCTGTGGTGGTAACGCGACCTCTCAGCCCTCACAGGTTGCTGTTTTCTGACCCCGGTCCCCTGGCCCCTGGCTCTGAGGTCGTGCTCCAGGCTGCTCCCAGGCTCCCCTCCCCATAGATTTCCCAGTTTCTCGCTGAGCTGGATCCCTCTTTTTCTCCCTTCCCATGATTGGTTTGAGGTTATACATGCAATTATCCTTCTACTTTTTATTTCCTCCATCCAAGCAGATCCATATGAACTAATAACCAGGAGCCGGGAGGTACCAAGGAGCCTGCTGTCAGCAGCTGGGAGCGGTGGGACAGCAGTGTACCTGCCCAAGGCAGCCATACCAAATGGTGCTGGAGCTGCCCCAGAGGTGTGGGGCACCTCTTCTCAGCCCTCATGCCCAACTGAAATGGCAGTTGATTGCACCAGGCCAGCGGGGTCTGGCCAGGCATGGCCCCCAGGTGATGCTGAGACAGGGCAGGAGGGTGTCAGCGGGGCCGGATCCAGCCTCTCTCTGCAGCACCTCTATTTGCAAATGCTTTGCTGCCTGGGGGGGGGTCTCTGGAGGGTATGTTTAGCTGCCATATGTGTTATGGAGGATCTGCTCCCCCTCCCCACATTCTGTCTATTCCCTTGCTATCTCTTTGTAAATGGGCCACTTTATTCAAAAACTCTGGAGGAAAGAACGGGGAATCTCTGGTTATGGCTGCACTTGTAAAACAAACAGTCCCAGGGCATTCCCTGGCACAGCAGCAGGACTGTCCCCACGGGAATTTTTAGCACAACCCTGGTGTGATTTTGGCTTGGACCAGCTCGCATTGATCCAGGCAATTTTTGCTTGTAGTTTACAAGTTAATCTGGGTCAGGGACAGTCCCAGCAGGATCTGGTACACAGGCTGCCCATTTGTAAGATGTGTTTCACAGCCTGGAGGTGGGCTGGTCCATGGCAGAGGTCCTCAGGACCAGAGAGCATCCCTGGGTTTAGTTTAACTTAGTGTAGGGTTGTAGAGCACCCTTCGCAGAGAGCCTGGTGATGGGGACTTTGGAAATACAGCCCCATTGACCCTTCTGCTCCAGCCATGTGGAAGGGTCTCAGGGTAGAGGAGCTCCCAGACAGGGGTCAGCAGTGGGACTTTTTACTGCAGATCTTGTGCCATCAGGGCTGAGATGAAGGTTAAGGAAAGTTTTGAGGGCTGGGCTGTGGGACAGCAGGCAGGGTAAGGTCTTGGGACAGACCCCATGGGTGGGATGTGGGGAGGAGTCCATTCATCCACAGCATGGGAGAGCCCCAGCCCGTCTCCCCCCAACCTGCTCGCCCCAGACACAACAATGAGCTTTATCTGCATATTTACTGAAACACGGCAGTGACCCCAAAGGGCCTCCACCCCAGGGCCCTGCTGGGCATCACTTGTCCTCTGCCACCACAGCCACACAACGCAGGCTGCGTTTCCACAACCGCCAGGCCTGAGGATGGGGGGAGGACTCGCGCACGCGTGTGTGCGTGTGCGTGTGCGTGCATGCGTGTGCGCAGGCGCCGGTGCCAGGCAGGTGCCCTTGGCGTGCCGCACGCCTGTGTTTGTGCTGCACTTGCCATGTGCGTTCCAGGGCACGTGTGGGATCTGGCAGCTCGGCACGGGCGCTTTGCGTGGGCAGGGGGTGTTTTGTTCAACACATGCCTTCATCTACGGTTTGCGGTTTTGATGCAGAGAGAAAGACCTTGCTCGCGTTTGATGTCTGCGTGCGCGCGCGTGTGCTCTGTGGGTGTTTCGCACACGCTGCGTGCAGCCTGCACGGGTGTCTGTGTGTGCTCGCACATGCGCGTGTGCGCGCACGTGTGTGAAGCGTGAGATCAGCGTCTCAGCTGGCCGCCGCTCCGGCTGCTGGAATCCCTGCCTCCCAGGCCATGTTATAGATGAATACACTTGAAAGCATTTTTTCCCCCTTAGCCACCAGATTTCACTGGGAGAAGAAAAGGAACCGGGCACTTTATCTTCATTAGCAGATGGGAGCCTCTTGGGGCGGCTTTTGTCTGGGCGATGCTCCCTCCGCCCCTGCTCTTATCCCTTGTCCTCACTCATTAGCCCTTTCCAGAGGGGAAAGGAGCTGGCTGGCAGGGTCCTGTGGCTCTGCTGCATCTCCATTCATGCTGGCCACCACGTCCCCCAGCCCTGTGGCCTTCTCCAGCCCCCTCCAGGCAGCAGTGTTGGGACGGGAGGGGACAGGTCCCTTTCCTTTTCTGCTCTGGGAGGTCCAAGAGTCATTTTAGGCCCCAAGAAGCCTAAAATGAAGGCCCTTTAGTTGCAAGCTGCTGCCACCTCTGGTTTGGAGTTGGCTTTGGTGGGTGCTGGTTCAGGCTCTGGAGGGGTTGGGGAGGGGGATGGAGGTGTCTCAATGATTAAGTCTCCCCCCAGAGACATTGCTGGATGGGATGAGGGTAGGCCTTCCCTTCTGGAGCTGCTCGTCACCGGGAAGTGCTCATGTCCGCATCCATTAATACCCAGTAACCATGACAACTGCCGTGGAGCTGTCATCCTGTCCCCAGGCCAGCCACCACAGGGGTCCTCACAGAGGGGAACAGAGTGGTCTCGGGGCAGAAGCTTTCCTTGGATCGCTCCTACGTGCTGGGTGGCACGTGCACCGTGCATTGCGCCGCTGCCGGGGCCTGGGGCAGTTTGGAGGGGATACAACACTGCTCCCCCCCGGGGTGCCAGGCCATCCCTGGACAGGGCCAGGGCCACTGGTGCTGGGAACGGAGCAGGATGCTGGGTCCATTTCAGCTGTGGGGAGGGCTTGGGGGTGAAATGGGGGCAGAGACGTTCTCTGTTCCCCTCCTGCTAGCCCAGATGCTGGGGGTTCAGCGAGACAGCGAGGCGGGGGTGTTGGGGGCAGACTGCCTTAGGTAACATTCCTTCCCACTTAAAAGGAGCTATAAATCACTCACTCTTTATTAAAAGCTCTGCCCGACCGGGAGAGAGATGTCAGGAGCATAAATCAACTTCACTGCTCTCTTGCAAGGGTCCTGGCTTGCCAAGGACTGCTCCTTCCACTGTCCCCAGGTAGGGCACGCCACGACCGTGCTCTTTGCATCCATCCCCATGGACAAGGGACCAAAAGCAGCTCAGGGTTGGGTGATGGGAGCTCTGGAAAATCCAGCCTCCCCGTGCAAATCCTTAGCCCGGAAGGTGGTAAGGGATAAAAGCAGGGCCCATCCAGGAGGGGCTTTTTTTGGCTCCAGTCCTCTGCTTCCCCCTGCACCCCAGGGCTGGGGGGGAGCCAGCCGGATGCGGGGATACCGCCGAGATGCCGGTGCGGACCCGCCGCAGCCGCGGGAGCAGAGCACCCTCTCCTGGGGCCTGCGGGAAGGATATCCCCCCTTCTCCCCCCACCCACCCGGCCGTGAGGTAGGCTGCCCTTCCCCAAAACGCTCACAAACCGACAGACCCCCACCCGAAGCCAGACACCTCCCGCAAAGCCATTGATCCCCTGCTGCCGGCGTGGATTTTGCCCTGAAGGGTGAGGACTGGCCCCATTTTGCAGCACCCCAGGGGCAGGGCTGGGGGAAAGGGGGCTGCAGCAGGTGGGCAAACACCCCATCCCAAAGCCCAGGGTCCAGCTGGGCATGGCAGGGTGCCCTGCGCCTGCCTCCTGCCCGCACGGAGCAGGGCCGGGCAGGGGGAGAGGGGTAGGAGAGAGGCTGAGCGGGAGAAGGACTCACTTCTGCAGCATTAAAGCAGCCGGCACCGAGGTAGCTGCGCTTGCCTCCCCGTCTCCTGTTTTTCCAGTTAGATGCATGGCTTAATATAGCAGCACTTATGTTGTAAAACATCACTCATAAAACACAGAGGATGTGCTGTGTGTGGGAGCGTTCGCAAGCCAATCCCCAGCTGCTTTTTGATCTCGGCTTGGAAATCTCAGCGTCCTGGCAACGGCTGCTCGCTGGGGTTTGTGTGCGGCCGGGCCAGACCTTCCCCGGGTGTAAGCCTGCAGACATCTCCAGGCTCCAGTTGAGCTTTGAGGACTTCCATTCACTCCAGGTCCTCTGTCTGTAGTGGAGTGGATGGGAGCTGCTGGGCAGTGCTGGGGGATGTGTGTGCAAACCACCTGCAGATCTCTGCCCACGCCTGGTACCATGGAACTAATCCCATGGGAGCCTTTCCTTTAGTGAGGAATTGCAGGTACAGCATCCCCCACCTGGGGATGGGCAGAGAACATTTGGCAGACCCATTGGCACCACTGGCACCGGCTGTGCCTACCGAGGATGCTACAAGTGTTTCTGCCACCTCCCTGCATGCTCAGCTCCATCAACCACGTCAGTGGGAGAAATTGCTGCCGTGGCTGTTCCCAACAGCACTGGCCTTTCTCAAACGGCTTCTCCAGAGAGGGAGAGAAGGCATCCCCACGTGGGAAAGCTGAGAGCTGGGGGCCTCATCCTGCACTGAGGGGAAGACTTCTCTGTGGGGTACCACCAGGCTGGAAGAGGCAGCCAAGGATGGGTCATATTCCTACTCATCTCAGCCCAGGCCTCAACTGGAGAGGGAATGGGCTGGGGGGGGAAAGAGGGGGCAGGGGCAAGAAAGGGGACAAGGGGGAAGGAGCCAGGAACTTGCTCGGGAAACTGCTGGGACTCTTCCATCAAAGAGAAGGAAGCTCTAGGTGCAGGGCTGCAGGCTTTCATGAGCTGCTTGCTGCAAACCCCAGCCACCATGAGGCTGTTTATCCTGGCAATGGAGAGCCCATAAACCACAGCCCTTGGCCGGCCTGTGGACCTGCAGAGCATGGCTTTCCTCCCCACTGCAGCCTGGTAGCAGGGCTGGGACAGCCTGCATGGACAGAGAGGGGGCCACTGTCTGGGCATGGCCTGGGGGTCTTGGGGTCCCATCTCAGCTACTCCTGGACCTGAAAGCAGGTCCCACACCAAAGAGAGGGGGCCAGGAGTGGTGCTGGGAGCCTGTCACCACGGCTGGCTGCCACCCCCAAAAGGTCTGCCCCATTAAGTGTCTCTCCCAGCTGGGCTGACCCAAGGTGCCCCATAGTTTCCCACGTTCCCTCCCGCCTGCCACCCGTCATATTTTGCATTTCTCCCTCTATCTTATCTCCCCGCCGGCTCACCCCTTTGCAGCTGGTCTCTTGTTTTCCCTCTGCCCTCTTCTTTGCTCCCCAGCCCCACCTGCTCCAGCTCCAGCCGGGCTCCTGTGCTGAAGGACCTCAAGGCAGGTCCCTGATAAGGGCCAGACCAAACAAGAACCTTTTGTGCCACATTAAGCTCACCCAGGGGAGCTGAGCGAAGACCTGGCCTGGGAAGATCAAGACTGTTGCAGGAGGGACCGAGTGGTTCAGTGCCTCCACACGTTGCCAGACACACAGCAGGATCCCGCAGCATCCTGCCTCAGTTTCCCCACTTCTCCCACAGTCCTTCCTCTGCCCCTGCTGGCAGCAGCATCCCTCCCTCGAGCAGGGCCCGTGCTGAGGGCTGAGCCGGGGAGGGAGGGTGCGTGTCCCACTGAGAGATGCTGTCAGCGCTGAGCCCTGCGTGCACGGCAGGCCTGGCAGCCAGCAAGTGCAGGGAATAAAATTCTCCCCCCTCCCAGCCCGCTGCCGGGTTAATATTCCCTCTAACGACAGACGGCTCCTTTTATCCTCTCTCGCACTCCCGCCAGTGATTTAATCTTGGAACAAGCCATGATTATTTGCTGTACAGCTGCCTCCCTCGTTTCCACCGCAGACTAGGCTTGACAGCATCCCACCAGGCAAGGAGCAGACCCTCCTCCAGAGCCCCAGCTCAGCTACAACTGAGGGCAGAGACACCCTCTCCAGCTCCTCGCCTGCCCAGTCCCCTTGCCCCTGCCTGTCATGCACTGGCGGCGCCATGGGGAGAGGAGAAGAAGGACAGGCTGTGATGCAATCCCTGCATGGGGCTGACAAACATCAGGGGAGAAAAGAGACTGGGGAAGGCAGTGGATTGCTTGACCAGGGGGTCTTCCAGATCCCACCTTCAAGGGGCAGGTCTAGGGCTGCGAGAGGAGGCTGGTGGGTCTGAGACTGGCTCCCTGGAGCCAGCACAGTTTCAGCCCAGCAACACCTACCCCTGGATCCCTCCAAGCTAATGTACAGGGCAACTGGATCTCAGGCAACCAGCCCTCGGCAGCCCTGAGCTGAGACAGGTGAAGGATTTATCCTCATGGCCCTTAGCATCTCACAGGGATGCAGCGTCTGAGCAGATGCACCCCAAGCTCAGGATGGCTGAGCACACAGACTGGGATCTCAGCAATGGCCACAGAAGAGCCAGTGGCACGGTCTCCAGCAGCACCAGAGAGTCAGGAATCCTCGGGGACCCCCACAGAGCTGGAACAAGCAAAGTCTACTTTACACAGAGGGCTTGGCAGGGGCTGGGACTGACTCCATCCTCATCTGTGCAGCAAACGCAGTCAGCCGCAAGCACAGGAGAAAATGCAAAGCCAGAACACCACTGGGGACAATCTCCTGAGACTCCCGTTGTGTGGCTGTTGGGGAGAAAGCTTCCAAAGTACTGGGAATACCCACCATCTACCTGCAAGCAGACAACTTCCCTGTGCTGCCAAGCAGGTAGAGCTAACGGGGGGTCAAAACTAGGGACTTATCACCAGAGCATCCGTGCAGGACGTTTTTCTTGCATGCAGGACGCATGCTTTTTCTTCTACCTGGAGGGCTGGGGGAGGCCAGGATCCCCCCTTGCCAGGGGCGGGAAGAGCAGCAGGAGAGGAGAGCTGGCCCAGGGCCACCCCAGCAGCAGCAAAACGTGGGATGCAGCTCCACCTGGTGGGCAGCGGGGCTCCCCCCACCCCGCGGAGCATCACCATGTCCCTCTGGCCCCTGCAAGGGGACAAGGTGCCCTGAGACCTGGAGCCTATGGCCCTGCCTTACCTGTCACCTCTAGGAAACAGAGCCAGGGGACACCAGCCTCACCTCGGGGCTTGGGCAGCTCCGGCACTCAGGGATGCTGGGGCAGCACCAGCCTGTGGATGCACAAGCAAAGGCTGCTGCATGGACACAAATGCATCTCCACCCCCCCAGCCTGCACACCAGGACAGCTGGTGCAGAGCCAGCCATGCCCCTGCAACCCGGCCTTTGCATTCTGAGGCTCCCATGTGCCTGCAGGAGGAGGTTAAATGAAGGGACCTGCCACCCTGCCTGATGGAAGTAATCCCAAGGGGCTGAACTGCTCTGCTCCCGCCAGCCAGAGAGGTGTGGGAACAAATCTGATGTGGAAACCAGGAGTCCTGGGCCAGCACCCGGCTGTCTGTGTGATCCTAGACAAATCCCTGCTGTCTTCCATGGTGGAGCACTTACACAGGTGCTTTCCTTGCCCTCTTAGCTCTTCCCCCAGCTCCAGGATGCTCCTCACACGTAGCACCCTGTGGCATCCCAACCTATCCAAGCCCCAGCATGGAGACCTCAGCCCCTTCATCCACAGCCCTGTCGCTGCCCCAGAGATGCCCCCTGCTTCTGCACAGGCTGCAAGTTGGGAGCTGCTGGATCTTCACAGCCAAGCAACGATGGTATGGAAAAACCACTGGGACACCACGACTGGGACAGCAACCAAAAGCTGCCTCAGAGAAGTGGCAGCTTCTCCCAGCTCTGCCAGTGCCCCTTGACAGTCTCCCCAAAGCTGGGGAGGGGTGACAAAGAGCTGTGGCTATGGGCTCGGCACGGAGCCGCTGCAGCAAGTGGGCTCCAAACAACCTAAGGATGAGGAGGAGACCCAAAGTAGTGCGAGTCCCCCCCCATGGAGCTTCAGGGGCATCTGCCGCGAGAGGGCAGCCCAGCCCCAGCCCAGGGCACCCCCAAACCCCCCAAGCAGCCAGCACCTTGTCCAGGCAGCACAGGGGCTCACACAGCCCCACCTTACCCCTTCAGAGACCACCCACCACCTCCCCGTGCTCCTAACGGAGCCCTAATTGTCTACAGGAGGGGATAATCAGGCCCATTAAGCTCTACCAGCCTGCAGCTGTGTGGGTTTCCTCCTGCCACGAGAGTGTAAGGATGTGCTGGCAGGAATTTAAGAGGCCCTTGGCTGTGCTTGGGACTTTCCAGTTACACCCTCATGTCCCACTCAGAGCTGAGACCTTCTTCCCTTAAGGGACTTAATGGCAGCTGTTCTGGGAGGGCTGTGGGCTGTGAGGGTGGCCCCAGCAGCAATCCCCATCCTTGCCCCCATGCCAGCAAGGGGTACTTGCCTCCCCACCAGAACCCTCCCCACCAGTGCCAGGATACCTCTCTCTGCCCAGGGGTCAGGAAGCAGAGATGTCTTCCCATGTCGATTCGAGGCCTGGCTCTGCCTTGCACAGTTTCCACCCAGAGGAGCTGTTTCTCCAGCTCTCTGAACCATTCCCAGCACCACCACGTTTGGCAAACGGCAGGACAAAAATAGCTTCTCTCCAGGGGCTGCAACAGGGCTGCTTGCCTTGGCTCTGCTCTGCGTGGACCCGGGGCTGCCCTCAGAGCAGGGACAGCACAAGCTCCTCCAGCCATCTTAGGTAGGCACTGCCCCTTGCCCACAGCCCCAGCCACCTAAAAGGGTATCACAGAGTAAGCATGGATTAGCTTCCGTGTCTGTGGAGCCACAGCTGTGGCCCCTCTCCCTTGAGAACTGGGAAGGGGAAAGATGGAGGGGGACCAGGGATGGAGAAGGGAGAGGTAGCTGGGCCAGGGCACTCAGATGCATGGGCAGGTTTCTCCTCCCTGAGTGCTGCAGACAACCTGCCAGCCCAGGTCCTCGGTGGCAACCCAGCCCCAGGGCTCCCAGCTCCAGCAGGAGCTGTGCCAGAGATGGTGTACCTGCTGTATGGACTTGGGAGGGGGAGCACCACCGCTGTCAGACCTGCTCACTGGGAGATGTACCAAGACTGTGAGCTCTGTCTCCACGGGTAAAGCAGCTCAGCGCAGGAGCTGCCTGGCCAGCCAGCCGCTGCCAGGGAGACAGTCCTTTTCCCTGCCTGCCTTTGCCAATGCAGACAGACCACAGCACAGCAAGTGAGCTATTAAAGAACAGCTCCGGCCAGCCAGCAAACACGAGCTCATTCATCATTCTGGAGCAGACAGGGGGATGTGCCAGCTGCTTTCAGCCAGGACCCCTCACAATGCCCGTGCCCAATAGCTTGGCAGCCTGGAGGGGATCTGGGATGGGACTAGAGGGGTGAGGACCCTCCAAAATGTCTTTTCGTGTCATGGGGGTGCAGGGAGAGCTGTCCTGCCCCAGGCTGGGAGCTGGTGCGTTTCTGAGCCACAGCATGGCAGCATCTTGCAGAGACAGCTTGGAGAGGGTGTGAGCATTGGCATGGGCTTCACCAGGGCCTGACCTGACCCCACGTTCCCACCTGCAGCATGCAGGCAGAGCCACACAGCTCTGAGCAAGAGGGAGGTTTTACTCAGGCGCAGCAGAGAGGGAGACTGGCTGCCAGGCACCCGCAGGGAACCCTGTGGTTCCTGCAGGTCAACACTAGCTCTTTTAGAGCCTTTGCATGGTACAGCCTGGTTTTACCCCAGCTTCTCTCCTCTGGTACTGCTGTCTCCCTGCCTGTTTCCATATCTGGACCCCAGCCAGCTGTTCTGGCTACCAGAAGGCTCCAACTCGCCATTCGGATCACCCCTGACTCAGGGCAGGGATACCCCCTTACATGGCCCAAATTAGGAGCCTGGACAAGCAAACACCATCCCTTTGGCGGTGCTAGCACATAGTTAATGGATGTCCTGGCCAGAGTGACTCTTAGTAGCCAACAGTGCCCCAGGAAAGCCACACCACCAGCAGCTGAAGAGCTGGCTGTGGGCAGCAGCCTGAGAGCAGCTTTGAGACTGACAGTGCCCGGAGCCTTACTCCATTCCTCTCTTACATCCAAAGGCATGCCATTCCAGCTGCTTGGGGTGGGAATCCCAATTCCCCAGGGAAGGGAAATACTGCCCTCCTCTCCTGCTTCATGCCTTCCCCTGCCAACTGACCATTTACAACCGAGACCTAAAGGAAGAGCCAAGCAGAGACAGCCCCAAAGGACGTAGCCTGTGCTATATCATTGCCTGCCAGCCTCAGAGCTGGAGCCTGAATAGTAAAACTGAAAAGGGGGGAAAAGATCCTCCTCTTTCACGTGGAAGAGCAGCTGCCTCCCAAGTAAGCTGCAAAGCTGCTTCTTTACCTGCATAAGAAACATCCTGCTGTTCTTGTAGGGCTTGGGTAATTCCCTGGTGCTTGCAGGAAACCCTTGCCACTGCCAGCAGTTCTGGCTTGGGGAAGGACTGTGGGCTCACTGACCTCCTCTGCCCCAGAGCTGCTCCGTCAGTGGGACACAGGCAGCTGTAGGCAAGAAGGGAATATCTGGCCCTGGAGCTCTTCTGCTGCTCATAGCCGAGGCCTCAAGCTGCGTCACTGAACAGCCCTGGGCTGGATTTTTAAACAGGTTTCAGCCAAATTGCCCCTCCTGGGGGTGACAGGAGGCGCACACACACTGAGCTGCTCAGTGCTGGGAACCACAAGCCCGGCCAGGGAGCTCTCTGGCCCAGTCCTCTATGTAAAAGGCTGCAAAACCCAGCTCATGGCTGCCGAATACAAATAGCCCTTTTTAATGAGTTCAGGGAAGCCAATTTGGGAGAGCTCACACATGGCGGGGGCGGCTTCATGTGTTTCAGATGAAGCAATCTGAGAGCGATTTTGCTCCAGCAGGAGCAAGCAATATGCAAAACGGTCTCTGCTTCCTCACCTGCAAAATTCAGCTGTGGGTTTCTGATGAGACCATGTCTGAGCACCAGAAATACAGTCTCTCCTCAAACACACAAAATGAGGAAAGACATCAGGCTCCTTTTTATCCCCTTCCCTACGCCTCCTCCATCTTCTTGGCTGGGTTGAAGCCAGCTCTGTGTATCCAAAGGTGCTGACTTAATCTTCAGCAGAAACCTTGTCCTGATTTTCTTTCTCTGTATTTATACCCCTTTACCAAATCCTTCTGGTCACCTCAACCCAGCCTAAGCTGGCCTCAGGTGGGTGATGCTGGCCCAGATCCGCTTTGATTCTGGCCACTCCCAAAGCAAACCTCTGTGTCTGGGGGTCTGTGTGCACATGTGCATGTTCTTTGCAGATCTCACTGCAGCCTCATGTAAGGAAATAGCGGGACGTGACTGGCCACAGCATGGGATATGTGAGAATGAGAGTTTGCCCCTCTTCCCAGCCGTGGCACAGAGGGCACAGCCTCTGCCCTGCCCCCAGATGTGGCACGTCAGCCCCAGGCATCGGGAGGCCCAGCTGGAAGCCTGAAACCAGTCTCTGAGCCTGCGCTTTCATTGAAAACACCTCCAGCAGCAGCAGTGCAGGAGGAAGGGGGGGGGGGAAAGGGGGGGTTGGCTTAGCTCCTCCCGGTTGATAATTCATTACCGCCTGTTAGCCCGGATCCATCCGGCAGCAGCTACATCCTGGCACCGACATGTGTTCATTTCACACATAAAATGCTGTATCAAAATGCATCATTGAGACATTCTCCCTGAAACCTTTCCCAGCTGCCTCTCCCAGCGTTTTACATGCAGGAGCAGTCCCGGCAATTGGGGCGTTTTGTTCCTAATAGATGCCTGGCACCCGCCGTGGCAATCGGAGCTGCAGGATCCATCCTCCAGCTCATGAGAAATATGAGGGGAATATTCCTGCAAGAGGCAGGGAGGCAGCAAGCAGAGAGTGCAGGTTTCATCCATGGCGTGCTCGGATCCGGAGAGGGAGAAGCAGCCTGTGTGCACATGGCTGGTTTATCACATACCATTTTGCAATGATGCAGAAGTGGAGCATCTCTTCCCTCCCCCCCCCAGGGGCTCTGAGGGGAGGGAAGTAAAGGCTGGCTGGTCTTGCCTTGGGGACCTGGAGGAGGTCCCTTTCTCCAAGGCCAGACTTTGGCCTGATGATGGTGACTGTCAGCGTGGTAGTAAATCTTCCAGAGCTGAGCGGGAAGAGGCAGGGTGGGTGGGAGACTGAATGCTCACACAGCAGGTGCTGGGGGATACTCCCCCCCCAGACTGGGTGCCTCCTGACTCCCTGCAGAGCCATGCCCAGGGTCCAGCTGGTTTGCAGGAAAGCTGGAGCTCCCCTACCAAACCTAGTCCCTTCATGGCAGCCGTCAAGTCACAGACAGCCTTTCCCCAGTCCTAAGCCTTCTCCTGCTGCTCCCCCAGCACACCCTCACATGCTTCTTGTTCTTCATCCCTTCTCATCCTCCCCTCTGGCATTGCCCAGGGCCTTTCTTTCCCACTGTCTCTCCCTAGCATCATTTGAGGGAAAGGTGGTGGTGGTGGGGGGCTCTGCTGGTCTGTGAAGGTTCGTCCCTCGCCTTGTAGGCAAGAATAAAGAGCAGGACCCGGGTGAGAGTGGCCAAATTCAGCAAACACCCCACCACCCCCCGACCCTCCCTGTGCCCCTTGTCCTCTGGGCTCACCCCGCTGGGCCCTGCCGCTTCCCCACCTCCCTAAAGCAGAGTGCTGAGGGGCTGGGACAGCATCGGTGGTCGCAGCACCCCCGCCCCGGCGGGGAGCACCGGGGGAGCCCCCCCCCCCCCCATCTCTGAAGGTCACGTCGGGGCGGCCGCCGCCCGTCAGCGCCGCACCGGGTTCT